ATGGGGACAAGGAGACCCTGATGGGGACAAGGACGTGGCCATGGGGACAAGGACATGGGGACGGGGACAAGGAATCCCTGGTGGGGACAAGGGGACGGGGACAAGGACATGGAGATGGGGGCAAGGAGATCCTGATGGGAAAGGGGACATGGGGATGGGGACAAGGACATGGGGATGGGGACAAGGACATGGCCATGAGGACAAGGACATGGGGATGGGGACAAGGAGAACCCAATGGGGACAAGGACGTGGCCATGGGGACAAGGACATGGCCATGGGGACAAGGAGACCCTGATGGGGACAAGGACATGGGGATGGGGACAAGGACATGGGCATGGGGACAAGGAGAAGCCAATGGGGACAAGGACGTGGCCATGGGGACAAGGGGACCCTGATGGGACAAGGACATGGCCATGGGGACAAGGACATGGGGATGGGGATGGGGACAAGGAGACCCTGATGGGGACAAGGACATGGGGACAGGGACAAGGACATGGGGATGGGGACAACGGGACCCTGATGGGGACAAGGACATGGGGACGGGGACAAGGACATGGGGATGGGACAAGGAGACCCTGGTGGGGACAAGGACATGGCCTTGGGGACAAGGGGACCCTGACGGGGACAAGGACATGGGGACGAGGACAAGGAGATGGCCATGGGGAAAAGGAGACCCGGATGGGGACAAGAACAAGGCCATGGGGACAAGGACATGGGGATGGGGACAAGGAGACCCTGATGGGGACAAGGACATGGCCCTGCAGACAAGGACATGGGGATGGGACAAGGACATGGCCATGGGGACAAGGAGAACCCAATGGGGACAAGGACATGGCCATGGGGACAAGGACATGGCCATGGGGACAAGGAGACCCTGATGGGGACAAGGACATGGGAACGGGGACAAGGACATGGGGATGGGGACAAGGAGAGCCTGATGGGGACAAGGACATGGGAACAGGGATAAGGACATGGGGATGAGGACAAGGACATGGGGATGGGGACAAGGAGAAGCCAATGGGGACAAGGACGTGGCCATGGGGACAAGGACATGAAGAGGGGACAAGGAGAA